CTGATCATCTGTCCCTTCCTCTATGACTGGCATCCACCTCCACGACTTACTGGACTTTTCAGCTGCTAATAACAATAAACAGCAACGACACATTTTATRGCACTTTTGCAAATATTTCARTGCCAATAGGCCTAYAACATAAKGAAAGTTACACAGAGTGATCRGACTCACTGCAGTGTCATTTTCTTGAGCAAAAAGTTTGATGAAATGTGTTTTTTTCTGGTCAGTACGTATGGACTGAATTTAATTTTAGTTGATAAAGCAGGTTAAAGATTTCTGCACATGTGGTGAAACATTTCTGATAATTAGTTTAATGTTCTGTGAGCCCTGAACACATTGAGAAACACACCTGGATGACAGGACATGTAAACAGTGTTTGCTAACCTGAATACTCCTGCTGCTCGGTCCTGTGTCATCACTGCTTCTCTGACTTTGGTCCCTCCATCAGAAAGTTCTGTTAATTTGGCTGCTTTTTGCACTAATCTTTTCTTCTTTCCCCGTTAACTTTTACTGCTCCATCCATCTCTTAATCCTTTCTTTTMGACATGTTTATTAATTTTACCCGCTCTCCTTTCATCGTTTGTTTCAAGTTGGGCCAGGCTGCTCGCATTGAACGTTTAACTATTTAACCGGCTGAGCCCGCGTGGGCGGTGTGGCCGCTGGATGTATAGATATGGCTGGATGGTGCCAAGCAGGGGTCTCTGCGGATGAGTGGGCGTGTCACAAGGAAAGGCGATTCTAAAGCGACACACCTGATTTGACGGACTTTGTTAAAGGGACACACCTGACTGGACAAGCAAAAAAGGGGCGATACCATACGGCACCACCTGATTGGACAAGAACAAAAGGGGCGTTACTGTACGGCACCACTTTTTCTGGAGACCCCTACATGAGTCACATTTCTCCTGGTTAACCTTMGTGTTGGGRTCAGGGTCAGGCTGTAAAGAGATCAAGCAGGATCTAASGATACCGCCATGTAGGCCTSRTAGCCCACAGTGTTTATGCTTTTGACACGCCCACTCTTGTGACACGCCCACTTTGATTCYGCAGATAACCYCTTCTCGATGGTGCRGCMGCACGGCCCACGCAGGCTCAGCCGGTGAAATAGTKAAACGTGCAGCCGCACTATCSAGCCATATCTRTGCATCCAGCGGCCGCACCGCCCACACGRCCGCTGAGCCGCAGCAGCGTTTTAGAGAAAACAAACGTASCGGCCGATTCGGCCTGGAATTGGTCGGCCGTTTGGGAATTCTCCCGAACGTCCCTATTGCCACCAAACCCCTGATCACAACAGCTGTTTCTCTTTATTCCCAGAGATGCAGAGTGAGAGTGTGATGGCAGCTCTGTCTGTGCTGACAGTCAACATGTTACTGAGCCTCTTCTTTCCTGCAGCTGTTTCAGGTTTGTTCTCTTTCATTTGGAGACGTCACATGAATCATTTCTGAAAGATTTCATCCTCATGTTGTTTAAAGGCTCCACCNTCATTTGGAGACGTCACATGAATCATTTCTGAAAGATTTCATCCTCATGTTGTTTAAAGGCTCCACCTGTAACAAGCTGCAGAGAAACTGCATGAAGTGGATCAGRAAGTTTCTCTGCAGCACATTTTGTTCATCATCTGTCTCATTTTACAGCTGATCTGGCTGATTGTGGTACAACAAAACCACTCCTTCATATCACAGCACCAGGGAGGATGGAAGCTCTGAGTGGATCTTGTTTACAAATCCCWTGTACATATGATTCAACAGATACAAGTTATGACAGCAACAAACCAATCTATGGAGTCTGGAGGAAAGGTTTTTGGAACAAAAACACTATTTTCCACAGTGATGGCTCAGTTAAGATCTATCCATTGAACATAACTGGAGACCTGAAGAAAAAAAACTGCACCACTCTGTTTCTTGATTTAAACACAACTTATTCAGACAAATACTTCTTCAGAATTGAGAGCAAAAAATTCAAGGCATCAGCTTGTGCTGATTCTGTTCAGATAACAGTTAAAGGTAAGAATGGTCTCTTCATAAAACTCACTACAGCTTCACCAACATTTGGACACAAACCTCAACTGATTATCAGCATAGTATACAATTATAGAAATCACAATTTCCATGCATAATTTTTCAAATTTATTAATTTTTATTTTACAAAACAAAGTATGTCTCTGTATTGTTTTTCATCTTTGATTTTTTTATGTACAATAGAATAAAAAAACACTCCTCCTTTTCAAAAGTAGTTATTCAACCTATCACTAAAACTTTTAAAAGGCAATATTATGTTTCTCAGGCATACATTTAAATTCAATACCATAATAAAGCAACTACGTCACCTTCAGTTGTTATTAAAATGCTGTCCATATGTTTAAATAGAAAATAAACTTGATTTMTCATCACATAAACACCTTGAAATTGGCCTCTGTCTCTTTAAGAACCTCCTTCCGCTTCTGTTCCACCCATTTCAGCACAGGGCCAGGTGTGTGTGTGTGTGTGTGCTCTGTGATGAGGAAGCTCGGTTCGGACACACAGTCCAGAGGAGCTGATCCCAAAAGGTGGTTCTAGTCCCAGTTGGTGGTTTTTGCTCTCCTGTCTGGCTGCCTCAGGACACTACAGGATTCTCAGACATGCATGAATGAGTCAAAKCAAGACTTTAGGCATGTTTTTGATCAGAGGATAACATTATAACACGATTTAAAGTTTATTTTACAATATAGCCCCTTTAAACTTTACCCAGCATCTTCTGCAGCTGCAAGCTAATGTTGTGCTTACCATGCCACAGAGAGCTGATATCTATCTAGTTGGGTTCCAGAGCCCAGGCCGTGAGTAAAACTGAGCCCAACTATATCTAGCTGGTAGCACTCAACCTAACACACAAGATCTGGCTCCTTAMGTGTAAGTGAGGTTACGTTCAGAGCCAGTCTCAGCCACCAGGAATTGTCACAGTCAGAAACCCTCTCTCACCTGCCCGGCAAGCATCACACCCAACCTTGATGACCCTCCCTGCAGGAGGTGGATCTAGTTACAGGTGGCTTCCTGTTATTCATTTTGGCTCGAGTCCAACGTGGCCCCGAGCAGAATTCAGCGGAAACGGGAAATAAGTTCCCTCTGCAGCACGATGGCTCAGTGGTTGGCACCGATGCCTCACAGCAAGAAGGTCCTGGGTTCGATCCCCGGTTTGGACCTGGGAGTCTTTCTGTGCGGAGTTTGCGTGTTCTCTTTGTGCTTGTGTGGGTTTTCTCCAGGTCCTCCGGTTTTCTCCACCCCCTAAAAACATGTACAATTGGTTGCCTTCAGGCCCAGGCCGCCCTTGAAAATAAGATCTGAGATCTCAATGGGACTTGCCTGGTTAAATAACAGGAAATAAATAAGTGAGACAGTTTGACAGATAGTATTTAATGTGTTCTGCTGTCTAAAACGTATTTGTTATCAAATTCCAGATTCTGCTTGGAGTCCCAGCATCAACATCTCAGGTGATGTGAAGGATCTGAAGGAGAAGGAGTCTGTCTCTATCAGCTGCTCAGCTTGGACTCCCTGTCCACTCTCACCTCCTGAACTCACCTGGAGTCTCCAACAAGACTCTCAGAGACAAACAGAGACAAACCCAGATGGAACCTTAACAAGTAAAATC